TGGTATCCCTGACCCTTTGTATTTTTTCATTCCGTATTTGTTCCTTTCTGTATTCCTGACCTTCTGCTCGTTGCTGGTTATTCTTATATGTTAAATCCGGCCATTCTATGGCCCGGTAATACGTTGTTACTGTTTATTTTGTCCGTGTTTGACTTGACATGACTCTGCATGTTGGGCCACTGGTTCATCCTGTCATAGTACACATCAGCCTAAATACATACAATAAAAAACAAAGAAAAAGGTTACTTGAGCACTATTCCAAATCCCTATACATACTTAAATAAATAGTTTTTTTTTTAGTTCCACTCCAATTTCATTTTTTTAAACCCCTACATACTTATGAACTCCTAATTGGGAACACGTGGGATGGACGGCAGCACTGTAACATGGCTGTGTGATACTAAAGCAAGTACAAATACACAAAAGTAAGTCCTGCGCTCAGACTCCCACTACTGTTGGGCGGCAGCAATGACCATATTACACATCAGCCCCAATACATACAATAAAAACCAAAGGAGAAAAGTTTCATCAAAATATATTCTTCTATTTTAGCTGCAAAATTAAACACAGTAATGGCATTGCAATGAACCCCTAGTATTTTGTATACTCTGTTCGTTCACACACTCCCGAAATGCTAGCGGGTTAAGTCTGTCGAGACTTGAGGAAGGTACAACTGTAATATTTTATTATGGCCAGATGGCCCACTTATTTACACAGACCCCCTAGCATGGGGTCTCCAGCAGTAATATAGTAAAACACTCCCACAACACGCCCATGAATCTCTGTGTCTGGGAGATAATTGAGTGTACTTTGCTTTAACTAATTATCTCACAGGCACTAGAGGTACAAAATATAAAACATAAATTACCCCAAAATACATATAACATACATAGGAACCCCCACAAATATTATATCCCCGGATAGCATGGATCTGAGCGCCCAACATATCTAAATAGCGCTCAGATCCCAAGAACACAGCCGAATCGCCACCAGGGTAAAGTTTTGACAGACAGTACACATGGTGTCTGCCCAAATTAGTTCCAGTGAATCAGTGGTAGCAGTGGGTCACCTTCGGGAGTTCCAAAACGAACCAAAAGTCGAACGGTTCCCCTGGCTCATAGGTAGCAATTGTTCGCCTGGTTCACGTGAACAATCCTACTGTCTTGTCGTGGAAGGAAGTAGGCATTCGTACCAGATGAGCGGTGTTCGCGGGGTCAGGTGTCCAACTTAGAGTTCCAGACACTTGACACCAAGTAACGCTGCGTGCTTTCGGGAGACGAGATGGCCACCATTCTCCAGCGCCTGTGTTGTTAGTTTATAAATGAACGGAGGCCACACAGAGAGAGCATTTAAATTGAAGTTCTATGAGCTAGCAGGGGGTGGTCGGTGTTCAGTAGAGCCATCGACCGAATGCAGGGAGATTCACTGGGACAAGAAAATACAGAGTTTTGTCACATTGCTCCCACCCAGTTTCATGGTATGGCATACCCACCTAGACCCAGACGGGTTTGCTTGAGAATGTCCAGAAGGGTAAATTAAGGTAACTGTTCCGTCTGCCAGTATAATCCATCTGCATTGCTGTTCTGTGTGCCTGGGCCAGTACTGCATAGTAAAATTGTAGGGTTGAAGGGCCAGGCTCCAGTGCAGAAGGCGGGGTTTATCCCCGGCGACCCTATGCAGCCAGATGAGGGGATTGTGATCAGTCTTTAATGTGAAGGGACGACCATAGAGATAGGGCTGCAACTTATTTAATGCCCATACAAGCGCTAAGCATTCTTTCTCCATTGTGGCATAGCTGACTTCTCTGGGTAACAATTTCAGCTGAAGTATGCCACCAGGTGCATCGTCCCCCACTTGGCTTAGCACGGCTCCCAGCCCAATCATGGAGGCATCTGTGTGGACAAGAAATTTTAGTATGATTTGTGGAGGCCAACATAGGTGCCTCGCTTAGCACTGTTTTCAAACTCTGGAAGGCAACCTCGCACTCCGGGGACCACTCTCCCTGTCTGGAAAGGGACTTTTTGGTCAGGTCATGCAGGGGCTTGGCGAGGGTGCTATAGTCTGGAACAAATTTGCGGTAGTAGTCCACGGTCCCTAGAAACGCTAGTACATGCGTCTTCGTAAGCGGTTGTTGCCAATTGGCAATGGCCTCTACTTTGGCGGGTTCCAGTCGCTGATGTCCAGAACCTACTCTATGGATGAGGTACTGTACCTCGGCCAAACCAACATGGCACTTGTCTGACTTCAATGTGAGCCCTGCTGCCTGAATTCTCTTAAGTACCATAGATAAGTGTCTAAGGTGGTACTTCCATGTGTGGCTGTAGATGGCTATGTCATCTAAATACGCACATGCAAAGTCCTGAAATCCTTCCAAGAGCCTGACGGCCATCCGCCATCCGGTAGCCAGGGCATTCTTCATTCCGAAAGGCATAACCTTGAACTGGTATAGCACCAAACGGGGTGACAAATGCCGACTTAGGGATGGCCGTTGGCTCCGGGGGGATTTGCCAATAACCCTTGCACAGATCTGTGGTAGTTAAGTAATTCCCCCCCGGCCATACGATCTAGCAGCACGTCTATCCGGGGCATAAGGTAGGCATCCGTGACTATACGGCCATTGTTTCCAGTAGTTGATAGAGAAGAAGGTACCACACTCTCAGAGACGGCTTTATTACCCCTATGTTTAACATGTCCTGAATCTTTCAGCATGTTCTCCCTAACTGCTTCAGGGATACGGTAAGGTTGTTGCCGTAGTGGGGTTTCTCCCTGGGTCTCTACTCAGTGGACCACAGCGGAGGTGTACCTGGGTAGGGAAGAAAACATTTCCCAGTATCCCTGGAGTAGCTGGGTGACCTTTTTCTAGAGGGTCTAGTTTTTCCCCTAGGCTGACCTGCTCTACGCTGCCAGGAGATGGGGCGAGCAAGTCAGGTAAGGGAAGGTTCATACTATCCTCAAAAGATGGGGCACATACAGCTGCCACGTCCACTGTCCTCTCGAAATAGGGTTTTAACATGTTCACATGGAAAGATCATCGTATCCTTTCATCTGAGCATTTCCCTACAATGTAGGTAATGTTGCTTATGCGCTCCACTACCCAGAGGGGTCCCTGCCAGGCGGCTTGAAGCTTGTCCTTTTTGGTCGGCTTCAGGGCTAATACATTCTGTCTTAGGACCCTATCTTTCTAGGACCCTATCTCGGGTACCCTTATCATACCATCTCTTCTGGCGCTGCTTGGTCGCCTGCAGATTTTCCCGAGTCAGTGAGAGCCTGCAGACGATGCCTCAACATAGGGATCCCTCCCTCTCATTTCATCCTCCCAGTGCTCCCATATGAGGTCCAAGGGTTCCAGTACATTTATCCCGTATAGGAGTTCGAAGGGGGAGAACCCTGTGGACTACTGGGTCACTTTCAGGTACTCAAACAGGAGATGGGGATGGAACCTTTCCCAGTGCCGACAGGAGGCTGTGAACGTTTTAAGCATCTGTTTCAATGTGCCAATAAAACGTTCAGAGTCCATTCGTCTGGGGGTGATATGGAGAACTAAACAGGGGCTATACGCCGCAACTCTGCCACAATTGCTGGGTTACAGTTCCCGTTAACTGTGTCCCCTGCTCCGACAAGCTCCCTCGAGGGAAACCTACTCTAGTAAATATTTTAACTAGGGCCTCAGCTACGTCCTCTGCCTCTACATTAGGGTGAGCTATTGCCTCTGGATACAGAATAGCATAGTCTAATTTGGTAAGAATGTATTTCTTGCCCGTGGTGCTGGGCTTACTGAGGGGGCCTATCAAGTCCACCGCTGCTCGGTGGAAGGGTTCCTCTATAGGCAACGGATGTAACCTGGCCTTCGGGTGGTCACCCCTCTTCCCTATCTTTTGGCAGACATCACAGTAATTCTGCAGATCCCGGGCCAAAAGAAGGGGAAGAGGGGTGACCACCCGAAGGCCAAGTTACATATCAGACGATTTAGAGGCAGAATGGTCACTTCACCCAGACATGTTTTCAACGCTAGTAAAAAGATATGGCATCCTAGACATCAGTCCTATGGCCACAAAAAAGAACAGGAAAGTTTCAACATTTGCATCCCTTCTAAGACAAGTTCATCCAGACTTCCTAGAAGGAATGTTGATTTCTTACAAATTCATTATGGCTTATGTTTTCCCACCGGGAGCTTTGATCGCTCGGATTGTACAGAAGATCAGGTCAGACCAAACAAGTGTTGACAATTATCCCATACTAGCCAAACAGGAGCTGGTTGTCAGAGATAGAACAAATGGCACTGACACATTGGGAACTAACGTATTCAGAAACATCCTGGCAAACAGATATGTCAGTGGAAATATTGAAGATTTTCAGATTGACAGCTTGGCTGATGCAAGGATAATACTTAAAGAGCGTCGTATCCTACTGAATTCCCACCCTTGTATTGCCATATCCTACTTGTCAGTACTGCCACTATATTCCTGGGAAAACTGAAATTTCTAGTTACCGTAAATTATTTTTTCCTTAATATAGTGGCAGTACTGTTTCCATCTCTATCTTGGTAAATAAAATATGTTTCTGTCTTTTGGTCTCCATGTGGTTTCTTGTTAGGACTTGAGGGGGAAATATATTTAAGCGCAAGAATTATTTAAATTATTTACGGAGCTTCTTTTCCATTGAAATTAACACACTACACTGCCACTATATTAAGGAAAAAAATAATTTACAGTAATTAAAAATGTATCTTTTTGCCCATTGCTTCATTGCACCTGCATTAGTGATGGAAATGTATGAATCAGGCCATAATGGTGTCCTTTGAAACCCAAAAGGTTTTCTATTTTGTAATGTTGGCAGGATTTGTAAATGGTTTTACTCTTTAAGCTAAGGTGGTGTCCAAGACCTCCAGATACCATAATAACTTGAGATAGATTGAAATGAAGTTGTTTTGGTGTCTAGAGTATTTCTTAAGGATCATAGGCGTGTGCAACCTATTGCATTAGGGCGTGCACCCTAAAGCACAAACACACGCTACGTATGTATGTATGTGTGTGTGTGTATATGTGTATATATATATATATGTATATGTGTGTATATATATATATATACACACACACACATACATACACTGCTGTGTGTGCTGTGTGAGGGTGCTGGTAGTGTGCTATGTAGATGAGGGTGTTTATGTGTGTGTGTTTGTGTACTGTGTGTGAGAGTGCTGTTTGTGTGCTGTGTGTGAGGGTGCTGGTAATGTGCTGTGTGTGTGTGTTTGTGTGCTTTATGTGAGGGTGTGCTGTGTGTGAGGGTGCTGCATGTTTGGGTGATTTGTGGTTGTGGAGGTGGGGGCAGATTATTTAATAAATATTGCCCCTCCCTTCTTACCTTTTGTAGGGAGGGGGGGTCCTCCAACAACTTTACGTATGTATCACACCCTATTGATCTTGCTGTACTAAAGCACCCAACTCTGATAGTAGTGTAAAGCATTGTGTGGAGTCACTTGAGTATTTACTTATGTTTTGTAATTCACTGTTCCCTCAATGTTCTGTGTGGATTCAAAAAGAGATTAATCTTCTGCAACATGTGGGAATCTTGTGACATGGGCATACCTGGTGGATAAGTATGCACTCACCAATACAGACATATATTGACCCATTCAGCTGCTGCTCATAAGTCATAGATGTCTCTAGATTGTAAGCTTTTTTCCAACAGGGTCCTCATCAACCTAATGTTCCTATGAGGCTTTGTAACATTTATTGTTTAATGTCCCCCTTTATCATATTGCAAAGCGCTGCAAATTAAGTTGGCAGTATATAAATGCCAAATAATTATAACTCCAATATATATCTACTACTTTATATAAGATTACTTTTAATGAGACTTGGATTAAGTCTTCCACCTTAATGGTCAGAGCTGTTGCAACTGACATTTAATGTGGATAAGATAATGCACCTTGGACGTAAAAACCCAAAGGCAGAGTATAGGATATTTGATACCCTACTAACCTCAACATCTGAGGAAAGGGATTTAGGAGTAATTATTTCAGATGACTTAAAGGTAGGAAGACAATGTGATAGAGCAGATGGAAATGCTAGCAGAATGCTTGGTTGTATAGGGAGAGGTATTAGCAGTAGAAAGAGAGAAGTGCCCATGCCATTGTAGAGAACAGTGGTGAGACCTCACTTGGAGTATTGTACGCAGTACTGTATCTTCAGAAAAATATTTATACTTTAGAAAGAGTTGAGAGTAGGGCTACTAAACTGGTTCATGGATTGCAGGATAAAATTTACCAGGAAAGGTTAAATGATCTTAACATGTATAGCCTGGAGGAAAGACGAGACAGGGGGAATATGATAGAAACATTTAAATACATAAAGGGAATCAACACAGTAAAGGAGGAGACTATATTTAAAAGTAGAAAAACCACCACAACAAGAGGACATAGTCTTAAATTAGAGGGACAAAGGTTTAAAAATAATATCAGGAAGTACTACTTTACGGAAAGGGTAGTGGATGCATGAAATAGCCTTCCAGCTGAAGTAGTAGAGGTTAACACAGTGAGGAAGTTTAAGCATACGTGGGATAGGCATAAGGCTATCCTAGACTTAAGATAAGGCTGGGGACTAATTAAATGTATTTTGAAATATTGGGCAGTTTAGATGGGCCAAATGGTTCTTTTCTGCCGTTACATTCTATGTTTCACCTGGTGACAGATTCACAGATGTGTGAAGTTGACCTTGGATTGTGATCAGAATGATATAACAACTGTATACATTGGTCACTGGTAAGGAGAACTGTTATAAAGTGTTAGCAATCGAGGTATTCATGTCCCAAATTATTTTTATATATATTATTGTCCTGATGAAAGTTTCCTAGGGAGTTGAAACATTGACTTTTTTTTTTTGCTATATGATGGAATTACTTTAATTAATGGAATTGAAGACCTAGAGTGCTTATATGGATTTATAGTTCACTATATTTAGTTTTGGGAGAGATTATTTGGGATCGACCGATATTGATTTTTTTTTTAGAGCCGATACTGATAATCTGTGAATTTTCAGGCCGATAGTTTACAGATATTCTGTATATTTACCGTTTTGAGAAGAAAAAAAATGTTTTGCAGATCTTTTTTTTTTTTTTTATTAAGTAGTAAATGCACAAAATATACATGCCAGTCAGATTTTTTTTTTTTTCAAGAATATTTGTGTGTGTGTGTAGTGGATGCAGTGAGTATTTGATTAGTAAATGCAGTGTGTGTGTGTGTTTGTGTAGTTGATGCAATGTGTTTGTTTGTGTAGTGGGTGCAGTGTAAATATGTGCGGTAGGAGCTCAGTTCCTGTACTGCGGTGCGCACTGCTCCGCTTGGCTATGCTACACAGAGTGCCTGGCAGGAACTGTGCCCACCTCCTGCCAGTCACTCCAATCTAGCACCCCCCGGGCCAGTGTGCCCTAAGACGATTATCGGTATTACCGGTATTTATCAGCTGATAATAAAAAAAAAAAAAAAGATAATCGGTTGAGATTAAACAGCCTATTTAACCTGGACCGTCTCCCTTTACTTGCTGTCGCGTCACAGATATTTCAGTAGTTCCCTACTTCCAGTTCCCACCAGAAACACTGCATATACTGTAATGCTGTCACTCACTGGCCGGACCAAGTTCTCAATCTGTTGTATTTAAATGTAGGTGGGGGGGGGGGGAGATTTACACTAGCCACGTTGAAATGCGTTTGACAATGTTATTGCATGTTATCTTGATTTTCCATGTTATGCATTCTCTATTTTATTTAATGTTAAATTGTATTTAGGGGTTATCTCCCTTCCTTAAGGAGTGTCTCTTACTCTCAATATATGGCTCTATTTTGTATTTTAGTTTTTTCTTTGTTATTGTGTCGCATTATTTCTATTCATTTAATAAAAGGAGAAATGTCACAGGTCCTATACATTCAAATATATATTTAGCAATTACATGAATTTTGTTTCCTCACAAGTTTTGCTACAAAGGGGAGATTTTGTTGGATTTATAATACGTTTTGAAGGTTTTATGATATGTTTTTCGGAGATATCAGTACTTTGCGTTATGTTCCTAATATATGTTCTGGTCTGTTCAATATGGTTGAAGGCATAAATAATTGTACCCTGACAGAATTTTGGTCCCGGTGAATAAGATTCCAGGAATTGTATAACGCCATTGCAGTGGCGAATCCAGAGACTGATCTCGGGAGGGGCACTTTTATATTATTTAAAGAAATAATCCATGCACAATAACCACTACAGCTCTGTGTAGTGGTTATGGTGCCAGGAGTGACGGGACCCCCTCCCAGAGTAAGTAGTCAACCCGTTTAAGAACAGTTTGACAACTTACCTGGGATCTGCTGGGATATGGGGCTGTGTGGTGAAATGTGTGAAAATGTATGGTGTGTGTATGGGGGGACAGTGTGTGTGTGTGTGTGTGTGTGTGTATGAGGGACTGTATGTGTGTGTATGAGGGACTGTATGTGTGTGTGTATGAGGGACTGTATGTGTGTGTGTATGAGGGACTGTATGTGTGTGTGTATGGGGGACTGTATGTGTGTGTGTATGGGGGACTGTATGTGTGTGTGTATGGGGGACTGTATGTGTGTGTGAGGTGCAGTGTGTGTATGGGTGGGCAGTGTGTTTGTGTGTGTGTGGCAATGTGTGTGTATGGGGGGGGCAATGTGTGAATGTGTGGTGAGGAGGGTAGGGGGGCTTTTTGATAAAAATAAATAATTTATAAAATGTAACACATTTGTCACCCCTCCCTTCTTAACTTTACTGGGAGGAGGGGGGACATTTCTCCATCCCTGGTGGGCCGGTGGGGATTCCCTGGTGGTCCCAGTGGTAGCTCCAGGGCTAGAGTTCACTCTTGCGAGATTTGGAGCATTGCCGTGGTAACCGCGGCAATGCTCTGTGCTCGCGAGAGTAGAACCCGGAGGAGCTGCAGGCTAAGCTCCTGGGTCCTTTCTCCCTCCCCCCTCCCCCCCGCCGACTGTCAGCAATGTGCCTGCGGACCGGGGAGAGAGATCTTGGGTTAAGAAGGTGAACTGGCTTAGTAGGGATAGATGCACAATAGGTAAATTAAAAAAAAAAAAATCATAGGCTTCTTCATCTTAGTTTAGCAGTCCCTTGAGGCCAGCTCCCATCTTCAAAGGAGGTGTACTCGCCCATCTGCCCAAACCATAGTTAACACAATTGGACTGTTCAGGGCCTCACCTGTCACTTCCAATCTGTCTTGAAAACTGGTATTTGTCACCGAGAGTCCAGCACCCCACCACAATATTTTGTGACCTAAATGCCCCCTTGGCCCAGATCATATAGTCTCTTAAGCCACTTAACAATTGGCACTAAAATATCCAACCAGTTAACAATATTTATCTTAAATGACAGATTAATCACTACTTTCAGTTCTATTTTATGCTCAAGGAGATGACTTTTCTCTGCCTAGTACTCCGTATAGAGCCAGTTCATTGACTAGCTCCAGTACCATTAGGTCCTAAACAACCCCAAAACTCACAGCAGAATTAACGCAGACACATTACGTACCCAGCTACATTAAGGTAGGCGGAATTATTCTTGCTGTTAAAATCTCATAAATCTCATAATTAGAAAAGGAAAGCTCTCTGAGAAAATATGATCTAATCGATATAATACAACCTGATATAAATGTGATAAGTAAGATGAAGATGAATATCATGCAAATAGTCCCACTGGGGGTATAGGTCCAGTAGTATGATTACGATCCAATAATCTTGTATATTCTAAGTTATAAATGGAAAAGATAGTGCAATACAATTTTCCATATAAAAGATTAATGTATAAATGCACTTACAAACATCCAGATTAAAACGGCATATCTCCACAATATGTGGATCCCAGGAACAGCAAGGAGTAATCAGAAATTCCCCAGATGCAGATAATATATCCACAAAAAATTATTTAAAATGAGCGAACAATAAATAAAATCAAAATACAGAATACAGTCCAATGCGTTTCGTCCTTAACAATAATCAAGAGATTTGAAACTCTGGTATCTGCCAACCTAGCTGGCACTTCATCAGCTCCTAATTAACCACCACCTGTTGCCCCATCAGAAAATAATTTTCAGGGTAATATACCATCATCATCT